ATTATATTGCTAAAATTTAAAATAAAAAAAACTCCCGCCACACCATCAAATGATTAAATTTTAAATGATTAAAATTTTTAGTAATATAATTCTTGTTGTTGAAAATTACTTTCAGCAACAAGAGACATGTTGCTAAAAATGAAATCTTTATTTGGGGAGAAAAGTTCGGTGGAAGGCTACCGGAAAATATCAACAACATGGGGTATGTTGCTGATATTTACTTTCAGCAACATACCCCTTGTTGCTGAAAGTGGAGCAATTAACTTTTGGAGGGGAGAAGTGTACTGCATAGCTTTCAGCAACTAAAACTTTGTTGGTGATATAATTTTTCAGCAAGAAAGGTTCTATGTTGCTTATATTTGTTGCTAAAAGTCAAAATTTTAGTAGTGAAAGTTAAGAGTGAGCACCGCCGCAAGACAATATATATATATCATAACCTAAGTCGTGCCTGTTTGTTCAAAACTAACCATCAAATAATGCATATCTTTTAACGTGATGGGTCTGATTTTATATAATCTTGTTAATCACTATTGTAGTCAAGTGATTATAATTTTTTTTAAAAAATATGATGATTTTTAAAAGTTTAAAATTTAAATTTTGATTATTTTATTTTATTTTTATCTTTCAATTATATTAATTTAAAAAAAAAGAAGATTTTATATAGTTTTATACAATTGAATGTAAATTTTTTTAAAAATATACATATTATAAAATAATATATACTGTGTCTTTTTTCACGTCACGATGCGGTATCCCAAAAAAAAGCTTATTTAAAAAGATAACAAAAAAATGATGTAAGAAGTTTGGAAATTGAATGGCAAAGATGAGGGGACACAAAGTTGATATTAGCGTGTACTGAGTAGGTGCTGCCATTCATTCCTGTCAACCTTGTCAAGCTGGCAAATTGGAATTCAACTCATTTCTCTCCTAGTCTCGACCCCCACATCACACCCTCCATTAAAGCCATAGCTAGAGTCCACCATCATAAAACCAATATAAACTGCTTCATTACCCTTTACCCTCAATTATAAGTTAATTTGTGTTTTTTCGTACATTATGACCCCGCGTACTCAAAACAGTATAATTCATGTCGTAGCAATCAATACCATTCACATAATTATTTTTAAGATAATGATTCATGAAGTGAAAGATAGGATTATTAGTTTTACACGCCTGAGTCAGTGGTTAGTTTAATTAATCACTGGCCTTTTAGTTGGGACACCAACACTTTTTTAGGTTAGATTTATTGGGGATGTCTTTCCCCATCCCCCTACATAACATGGTAGGAGTGTTTATAGACAAAAAGAGAAATTTAGTCCGCATTAAAATAGCATATTCATTTGTAACATTGATCAATATTAAAAAAAAGAAAAAAGAAAAAAGGGTGAAATATAGGGTTGTTAATGTTGTAGTCAAGTATTATCAATCATGTGATTAAAAGGCAGAATTATTTGTATTTTTAATTAAAAATAAATTTAAAATTCATTTTTTAGTCTTAATTTACTAAAAAAGTAATTAATAATAATATTATAATATTACATAAAATTATAAATTTATAATTATGATATATTAATAATAACTATAAATATACATAATATTATGAATAAATGTTTAAATAAAAAAATTAATTATATAATAACATATATAGTTTTTTTATCTTAGTTACATAATTGGAAGCAACCATCTCTTATCCATTATTCCATCCCACCTGTATGTTATGCGACTTGAACTCAAAATTTCTTATTTTTAGCAAAAGAAGATAACCACTAAATTATTTAGATCGTTAGTTATAATAACAAATTAGTTTCTTATTTTGCAGTTCTATATTAAATTAAAAAATAAGAATCATTTGAGGGGAAGAAGGCTCCAATATCAAAAGGTTTACCTCTTATTAAATAGTAAATTTTATATTATTTATTATAATTTAAATTACAGAAATACTTTATATATATATATAATTATAAACCTTCAGGAGCAAGGTCTGGCGCAGGCAAAAAAACTACACAATGGGTCTGCTGGAATGGAAAAATTACAAACACAAAATGAGAGTTGGGTGTCCCTTTATTATGTTTATAGTATGATCGTGCTGCTAGCAAGACTTTGAAATTTCAGCATGTTTCGCTGTTGGTCATGCTGTCACTCCTTATTAGGGGTCCATGGCCATTTAATTGGCCGTTTCAATAGCGCGGAACACGGACGGTCAGGATCAAACTGGTTAGGCTATAAATTACTCTCTACCCATCGATCAGTGTTGACTTAATGTGCCCGACGACGGCTACTTTGGCGTGCAAAATCAATCCTCACCAAAATAAATATCTTTAATTATTGCATCTAAGGACATGCATTTGTAATTTGATTTCTCTTTTTAAGGACCTTCTAGTCATTATCTCGAGTTGCAAAATAGTAACTCCCCCAACTTTGAGGTGAAAGTTATGGCGAAAGATATATTGAAGAAATTAATTAATGAATATGAGAGTTACAGAAGTAGTATTCTCTCTTATAAGAAACTCTAACTTGGCTTCAACAAAATGCATTTCAATTTACGCATTAACTTCAGGAATTGTATTTATTAGTAAACAGATATGGTTATATATATAATTGAGAATTTAACTATTAGAGGAAATACATAAAAAAATTTAATTCTTTTAAATGTACCAGATTAATATATAATGCACCTTTAAGTTTATAGAAGAATAGGTTAATTTCAAAATACTTTGATTGTCTAAATATTTTTTTTAATTATATGATAAAAGATAACATTCTTTCATTCTATAACCTATCTTATTCTACTTGTGTGCCGCATATTTTTGTTACATTTTTTTTTGTCACGCTTGATCAAAACATTTTACTTTCATTAGAAGTAAATTATCATTATTTAGATTATTGATAATTTTTTTATCGAATAAATACTTAATGTACTTCTTTTTATATCGAAATGATTAATTGTTTAGCATAATAGAAGCTTCAATTCCTAACCTTAACTCCATATCAAAATTCTTTAATTAATGATGACCAATTTATCTAAGCTCTTGTCGCTAATGGATAACTTATTGTGGTAGAGTAGAGACTGCATGTGAATTTGGTATTTAACCATTTTTTCCTTCTTGGCCTTTTAAATAGCTCCATGCACCTCTTCCTCCTTGCATCCAAACCAAGATATCCCTCCTCCTCCTCCTCCTCCTCTCTCTCTCTCTCTCTCATACAGAGATTCTCTCTCTATAGAAAAAAAAAATTTTAAGAAGAAAAAAAAGGCAACAATTACACATGGATATCGAGCCAAGCCCAGAAGAGGTAGCGAAGAAAGTATGGAACATAGTTCAAGTAGTGCTCTTCATGGTAAAGAAAGGCATGTCCAAGAGCAAAATAATGGTGGACCTCCACCTCATTCTCAAACAAGGAAAGCTAGCCGGAAAAGCCATCGGCAACCTCATGTTCCACCACCACCACCACCTGTCTTCATTAAGCTGCCGGTCGTCCTCTGACCTCTCCTTCATATCTCCTAGGGAGTATGAGTTCAGCTGCAGCAATAGCCCCGCGTTTTACCCTTTTTATACCCACAAGCGCAGACACCACCACCACCACAACCACTATTTCCGCGGTAAGTCATACAGGTACGAGGACGTGACTACCGTTGCTGCCGTTCAGAGGGTTTTCGAGATGTTAAACAATGAGAAGGTGGAGGCGGCGTCACCTATGGTGGTGTTGCCGGGATTTGGACGGAGCCCGATGGGGAGGCAACTGAGAGTGACAGACTCGCCTTTCCCATTGAAAGACGAGGGAGATAGCCAGGTGGATAAGGATGCGGAGGAGTTCATAAATAAGTTTTACAAAGACCTCAAGTTGCAGAAGAGAATGGCTGCCCTGAATTCCCCTGCTCATTATAACACTTGGGGTTGGGGACGATGAAATGGGACTTTCTCTTCTCCAAATGAATCAAGATTCTACTCAAGATCTGGTGCCCGCTACTGGAGGAGTCGGCGGGCGAAGGCAGGATGGAAGACAAGGGTAGGACCTGCAAGCAGTAAAGGCCTTAGGAAAAGTGATGGTGACAATAATTTGCAAATAATCTATCATACAGATTATCATTACGCATGCATGACAATTTTGATTTTGATAGCCTTTGTTTTTTTTTTTTTCCAACTACTTGGTGTAAGGTCTATTCTACATGTTTTCCTTATTTTCACCGTATAAAAATAAAAAATAATATCACATATAAAATTATATCATAATCATATATAACATATTATTAAATGAACAAATATATATATAATATTATGAATAAATCTTTTAATAAAAAATTAATTATATAATGATACATAATCATTATAAGGTTTATAATATTATATAATATTATAAATTATTTTCATAAAAAAAAAATTTCAGCCATTTCTTCTTGATCTTCAATTAATTGACTCTTTTATAATTTATTTTGATTTACTTTTGTTTGCCAATGACACTAAATTTGAGTTTTGGTTAAATATTGGGCATATATATAATTAAATATACAGATTAATAAGCAGAAAATTAAGCAGACTACAAATAATTAATAAAAATTAGATAGGAAGAATGTCTAGATTTGGGGCTGGGTGTGCGTCTCCATAATTTTTTTTTTTTTTTTAGTTCAGCTGATAATTACCTTTTTCTTAAATATGTATATATCAAAGAGTTGTAAAAAACTGAATTACTCTTGTATGGGCAAAAATATTATTCGTTTCTTAAAATCTTGATTCCCTCTGCCGTTTATAAGTGTCTTTTTCTATCTATACACATGAATTAAGAATGTCAATTATTGTTGTGAATTTGTGATTAAATTTATACTTAATTTTAGCTACTCTACCTTAAATAATTTGTGATTAATCCTTACTCCTAAATTCATACATGAGAAAAGTATAAATTAGGATGTCTTAACATGTTAAATGTTAGGATTTCCTATAAAATTGTTTAAATACTTTTAATAAATCTTTTTTGTGTATTGATTCATTAAGAATATTTTAGTGTTTTAATTATATATCAATCATGATATTTTAATTTCTAGGACATCTTAATTTTACTTCATCCTTTCATATATATTAATATATAGTTCTTTTGTTCATTTTTAATAGTTCTAATTTGGCTTTTTGAACTTAAATTATATGAACAATAATTAAAATTTTTTTCCTATATATAATTCTTATTAAGTATGTTTATTTGATAAAAAAATTCAATTATCTTTTATATAATAAATTAAATATTTATCTAAAATTTATATTTAAAAAATTAAAAAATTAAATTAAAATTATTAAAAATAAACAAAGAGAGTAGCACCTGTTTTCTATCGGCCAAAAAATTAAAAATAGTACTTCTAAATATTATTGATCGATAAAGAGTTTTAACTACAGGGTATAATTAGAATAAAATTAATTAATAGACTTTGAAAATGTTAAACCAATAATTAATTTGAAACAAAATTTCAGTGAAAAAAAAGAAAAGAAAAGAAAAGAAAAATAAGTACGACACTTAATATGGGAGGTGAGGGAGTAGATGTTCAGATTGATTAAAACAAAAGTAAGAGGAAAAAAATTATGTTTTGCGTGTGCTATGGTTGGAAAACATTATATTCGGGACAGAGCAGAGTTTTAATGCACTGGTTTTCAAGTTGGTAGGTGGGATGGAGCTATATATCATGTCGATTTTATTAGCTGTTCATCATAGGGCTTTTTCCTTTTTGTATTGTTGCTGTCTCTATTACCGTGATGGTAGTTCTACTGGTTCTGGTTTCATTTAGGAAGCGGCAAATTGACGTGCCTGAGAGCGAAATTTTTTAAATTCTAATTAAATTGTGTTGCAAAAACCGTAACTACTACTCCTGATCTGTTTAGTAGTTTTAATTTAACCCTTAAGACAAAAATTTTAAGTGAAAAATTTTAAATATATACCATATAAAAGACAATTGAAAATATTTTGTAATCTAATAAATTTACTAAATAGTAATTACATATAAGAAAAAGAAAACTTTCAATTGGCATAAGTTTTTATGTTAATATCATCTAAACTTTTTGTTTTAAAAATCAAAAAATAAAATTAAATCTACTATTGGTTTTGTTTCAATAAAACACCATAAAAAAGAGACTAAAACACTTTCATATATTTTTACTGTAAAATTTAATATTTTTTAATTAAAGTTTATTGAAATGATATAGTTTTAAAGTTTTTTTTTTCTTAATATTTTAGTGATATATCCAACTGATAAAAATTCTCCAAAAATAATAAGATAAAAATGCAGCACTAATTTATTTCGGTATATATTCAAGGTTTGGTGCCGGTACATACATATCTATAGAATCACAACAGGAAAGATTGTTAGAAGGGCGCATATGAATATATGGAGTTGAAGTGGAAGGCAATTGGACGCTGAATTTAGTGATATTCTTAATAAGATTTTGGCTAGGTGAAGAAGGTAAAGTTGGCTATGGTTGTACTGAATTACCTCGGAGGAAAGGGGAAGTATCACAGTACATATTAGGGCAATATTGGTCCCCCCTCAAAAATAATCCAAGGTATCATCAGACCCATCAAAGTAGAGATAAAATTGATTTCGCGTGGTTTTTGTAAAAGGGGAGAGAGGGAGATCAAAGAGGCCACCATATGGTAATAATGATATCATGTTTGGTTTGAAAGAAGAGGAGAGGGCAACAGGAAAAAAGATTGTTTTAATCAATCAAATTAATTAAATTGTTGAATAACGCCTTAATTTTATTGGATGAAATATTTGCCCCTCTCTACTTTCCTGAAATCAAAACAGCCTTCCCCTAATAGATAATGGGGGTGAGAATATGAAAACGATGGCAGTGGCTCTCCATATGATTGAAGGAACTAGGGAGTCTCTCTCAAGCACTTAAGAGGCTTGCCTACTTTAAAGCCATATATTTACCGAAGTAATTGTTAAAATAACCTTTTTTATTATTTTATTTTAAATTACATAATGAAAGGTATTTTTTTTACTAGCCTACTACATTTACATATTATATGACTTAAATTCAAATTTTTTTTACTCTACTTAGAGAAGATATTACCATACTTCATTGAAATGTAGAAAGTTTGTGTGTAGATCATAAAAGCCAAAACACCTATACATTTTGTTGCTTTGTTTCCATTTCTCTTGGTAGTTCAATAATTTTCGATCAATTTTGTTTTATTACATTTTATGGTTTGTAGTTCAAAAACTTCACATTCGTGTGTGTGTATATATATATTTTAAAAAAAAAAGAAAAAGAAAGAGAGAAAGAGAAAGAAAAAGAAAATTTTGACATTACATAATTAATTAGATTGATATTCACTCATTATAAATATAATTTGCTCGCATCAAGCTCAAATATTTTTATGATGCGTAAACATCAATAATAACTCTCATGATATTGTCGTCATGCATGTTTTAGTACACATGAGACAACCTTGAATTGATTAATGGGATCCAATTAATGCTTAAATTGAGCCATTCAATCTTTTTAAAAAAAAAATCTTGATATCATAGCAACCATATAATCATTAATATTAATATTACTCAAATTTTAATTACCACATATCTAAAGAAAACTACATGCATAATGACAAATTGGGGAGTGAAATGTTAAAAGCTTCATCTAATTAATTGAAGGATGTGAAATTTTTTCACTTTTTTCTAGTAAGTTAAAATTTATTTTTATGGAGTACTAAAAGTACTCTTACTTGTATAGGTGAAATTTATTGTAAATCAAACAATGGTGAAAATTTTTCACTTTAACATGTTTCTTCTTATGTCCCTTGTATTCTTTTTAATAAATTTTAATTTATTGAATAAACATATTTCTTCACATATAGGTCTTGTATGAATATTAGATCTTATCATATGAGGATATATATGGTATTTCGATTTCCAACTACTTTAACAAACAAGAAGACATTAAGAAAGGTTAAATAATTGAAGATGAAAGTGAATCATATGATTCATTACTTTCGCCAATTGAAATCTCCAATTGCTCCATTGGGACACTCAAAAAACGTGGGTTGACAAATTTAGATAAGAGGAGAAAATAAGGGCATTGTGTGGGCACCTGGAGTGCGATGTATTTATTATTATTATTATTTTCATAAGTTACATATATTTGGTTTAAAAGAAACAAAGAAAGAGATAGAAATGAAATGATATGGAAGGACGGTTCATCCTTTTATTATCTTCCCCTCATTTAGATAAATTTAAAATAATTAAATGAATTATAAGTTAAAAAAAATAAAATAAAAGACTTTCCTTCCTTTCTTTTCCTTTTAATATTTTTAGTAACTAAATAAAAAAATTGATTTCTTCCCCCCGCCCTCCCCTCTCTTCAAACCAAACATACCCTAAAAACTAATGGTGGGTGGAGCCGCTTCCTCAAAAAGCTCGTCTTTGGGAGCTCGGTAAAGAGACCTAGAGAAGTATACATATGAATTAATGATGCTTTTGTAAGGTAATGGGTCACCCTTTGTTCTTTAATGAATTTAAAGCATAGGTGCATATTGTACCTAAATTTTGGCTATTTATGTTTGCCCCTGTATGTTAGAACGTTAATTCTTATGTGAAGCATGAAATATTGAAAGGAAATGATTTGTGCACCCGCCGGTTCGAGACCAGCGGGTGCACACCCCATAAAATAGCAATTAACTCCGTGAAATTATATTTTCCGTGGATGGCTGCAGGCTGTAGCCATCCTTTGACTTTGGCTTATTTATGCATCCAAACAAATACCATCCCTAAACCTTAATCGTTGTAATTCGCCATCATCCTTTTTGATGTGATACTTTGATTGCTAAAGATAAAGGATCAGGTATAAGAAAGGCCGCAGTAGATCCATGGAGATTCATCATCCGTTTGTGAATTTTGGCAAATAAGAGACAATTGATTGTTGGGCTTCTCAGGTGAGGAAATAGATACCATCCCTAAACCTTAACTGCTATAATTCGCCATCATCCTTTCTGATGTGATACTTTGATTGCTAAAGATAAAGGATTGGGTGGAAGAAAGGCCGTAGTACATCCATGGAGATTCATCATCTATTTGCGAACTCCAGTAGATAAGAGATGATTGATTACTGGCCTTCTCAAGTGATGAGTGTCTCGATACTGTCTATTGATACCCATAGCATAGACGCAAATTTGAAGTCATTGATGTGAAATTCTCTATTAATTTCGACATGAAAAAGTTATCGTTGATTATGAAT